TGGAGATCTGCAAGCCAAGGTAACGGCGCAGTTCTCCAAGGTCAGTGCAGGTGTGTCTCTTCAGCAGCTCTGCCTTCACGGAGGCCAGCGCGTCCCTGTCTGCTGTGGCAAAGACCAGGTCGTCGACGTAAACGAGGATGTAGAACGGAGTCTGGCCAGCACGAACGAAGAGTGAAGGGTCTGCAGAAGACGGAAAGAACTGCAGGTCAGCAAGCGTAGCACGCAGAGTGTCGTGCCACTCACGGGGAGCCTGGCGCAGGCCGTAGACGGGGCGCCGCAGGAGCCACTGGGTCCCAGGAGGGAAGGTGCCAGTAAAGCCCGGAGGGCGGCGCAGGTAGACCTGCTCGTGTAGGCTGCCCTGAAGGAAGGCAGTGGAGAAGTCAAGGGAGTGAAGCTCGTAGTCACGCTGAGCAGCTAGGTGTAACAGAACCCGAAGAGTAGTCATCTTCGGGGTCGGAGCGAAAGTCTGGAAGAAGTCCACCCCCTCGCGCTGACTGAAACCTCTAGCCACATAGCGCGCCTTGAAGACAGGCGGCTCTCCAGGAGGGCGCTTCACCTTGAAGAGCCAGCGGCCATCGACTACGTTCACCCCAGGTGGGGGAACTGCGTCGACGAAGGTGCCGGTGGATCTCCAAGATGCCATCTCCTGCTCCATGGCACCTATCCACTGCGAGGCCCAGGGTCCCGAAGTCGCCTCAGCGTAAGTGCGAGGGGTCGGGATGTCGAAAGCGTCTGGGTCACCCTCAGGGACTAGCAGCATGGAACAGAGATGGGGAGCAGCCTCGGAGAGGAAAGCAAGCTCGAACTGGCGGTCCTCCAGGACGTCACTGCCAAGGGCAGGAGCACCCCCGACAGACGGAGGACAGGCAGGGTCAGAGACCAGAGCGGTGGCGTAGTCAAGGCGGCGGGTAGAGGCGAAGTCAGCGACAGCAGCGACAAGAGCGTCAAGGCACGAGACTGGAACAGACGGGTCGGTAACGAGAGAGGCAAGGACCCGAGGAACGAGAGGACGAGCGGCACGAAGGTAGTCGGACAGCGGGGGGGGCGCAACAACAAGGGAGGACGGAGGAGGCGACGGCAGAAGGGGAGGACGAGACGCGTGGGAACGAAGCAACATAGGGTGGGAGCGCAGGACAGGCGAGGCAGGACGAGCACGGGAGGGACGGTGAGACCAGACGTGCGATGGAGGAGTCGGGTCAGGAGACAGGGGAGGGGACACAGGAGGGGAACGAGGGGGGAGACGGGCCGGGGACGAGTCCGGCGGAGGGAAAACAGGGCCGTAGACAGGAAGAGGAGGAGACGGTCGGGGAGGAACCGACGCAGGGTCGGGGGACGGAAGGCCGAGCAGGCGAAGGGCGGACACCGGCGGGGACTGCTGCTGCGGCGGCACAACGGCGACACCTGGACCGCAAGCTGCTCCTCGGCTACCACCGGCACTCTCCACACCCGCACCCCCAGAGGGACCACCCTCAGGGCGACCGGGACGAGCACCCCCAGAGTCAGCGAACGGGGGCTGCGACTGCGGCGGCGGCGGCGGCGGCGGCGACGGCGACGGCTGCAGTGGCGGCAGGGACGGCGGAGGAGGGGACTGGGGAGGGGACACCTGGGGAGGGGACACCTGGGGAGGGGGGGCCGGCGAGGACTGCACCGGAGGGCCACCAGAGTCAGAAGACTCCTCAACCGGGTCCACGGACGGAAGGGGGGTGACGTGGGAGACACCAGAGGGGGCGGGACGGGGAGGAGGAGGAGGAGGGGCAGGGACTACCGGGGAAGGGGTGACCAGGAACAGGGGGGGGGTAACCGGGGGACCACGGTGGGGGAAGCGGCGGTAGTAGGAGACGGACTCGTCAAAGGTGACGTCACGAGAGTGAAAGAAGCGGTGAGACGGCGGGTGGTAAAAGTGCCAGTCGGACGCGTCAAGGGGAAAACCGAGGAAGACGCAGGGAAGGGTGCGGGCAGTGAGCTTGTCCGTGCCGGAGGCACGGACGTGAGCAAGGCAGCCCCAGACGTGGAACGCAGACGCGTCACCAGGAGACCCAGTCCAAAGACGGGTCGGCGAAACCTGCGGCTGATGAGGGTGCGGCCACAGGTTAAGCTGGTGAGAAGCGTAGCGCACAGCGAACGGCCACAGAAAATGGGGTGCACCGGCATGGACCATGGAGGTGCGAGCGACCTCCATGACCAAGCCGATGCGTCGCTCAGCGACCCCATTCTGCTGTGGGGAGTCCGGTAGGGTGAACGTCTGGGTGATGCCCTCCGCACGACAAAAGCGACCAAGGACACCTGAGGCAAACTCGCCACCACGGTCTGAGTGAAGACGCAAGACAGGGAGGCCGTGGTGGACACGCGCAGAGACAAGCCAGGGGATGAGGGCGCCAGGCACGTCGGCCTTGCGCTCCAGGGGAAAGACTATGGTGTAACGAGTAAAGTCGTCGACAAGCACAAGGAAGTAGCGCTCGCGACGCGGCCCAGGGACGGGGGCGGGGCCCCAGACGTCCAGGTGCAGGGTCTGCAGCGGCGCGGCGGTAGGGGGGAACGAGGAGGAGTGAGGGGCACGGCGAAGCCGACCCTCGACACAAGGCGTGCAAGGTGGAGCTGGGGAGGAGGGAAACGCGGGGAGTGAACCTGGGAGACCAAGGACAAGACCGTGCTGGGACATGTGACGCAGACGCGGGAGCGCAGGGTGACCTAGGCGGTGGTGCCATAGGAGGGTCGGGTGAGTGAGGGAGCGACAGGAGCAGGCAGCAGCAACCTGGGTAGACACAGCCACCTGAGGGGGCGCTCCAGCCGGGGGGGGCACGGTGTCCAGAGTGAACAGGCCGGACACCGGGTCCCGGGGGAACGTGGACAGGGGGGCACCAGTGGCGGCCTCGGTACAGACAGCATACCGCTCGTGACCAGGGAACGTAGTGGTGACGCCAAGGTCCTGGAGGCAGCCGACACCAACTAGGTTCCTGGAGAACGAGGGGATATGCAGACCTGTAAGAGAGCCCGAAGGAACCGCCGGACAGGGAAGGGTGGTGGAACTGCGGGCGACTACCGGACCGCCGGAGGGGTCAGCAAGAGAAACGGCAGCAGGAACAGGAAGCGGCGTCAGGGTGGTGGAGTCGCGAAAGAAACACCGAGAGGCGCCAGAGTCCAAGGTGAAAGAAAGCGAAGCCGAGGGGTCTAGCGACGGAACGACGGCAGAAGCACCAAGACTACACAAAGCAGGGGATCCTACGCCTGACGCAGCAGGGGAGGCTAAGCTAGGCACACCTACACTAGGCAACAGTGAGTAATAAGTCGGAAGCACACTAGAGTCATCAGCATACATCACATGTAGAGCAGAAACAATGGCATCCATGTCCATATCAAAGATCTGAATCTGACGACTAAGCAAACTGTGCCAGTCCGGGAGGTATGGCGACGGGCCGAAACGCTGACGAAAGAGGTCGTCCAGGCGACGAAAGCAGCGGGGAGTGGAGTGACCGATCTTACCGCAAACGAAGCCGCGGCGAGGACCGGTCTGGATCTGGTACTGACAACGGCCGCCGGCAGAGCCACCACGCGGCACACCACCACGCGCCCGTCCACTGCCAGCGCCGGGCCACCCTGGCGGGAGAACACTCGTCTGCCGCGTCTGCGACGGCTGCTGCGGCTGCTGCGAAGGCTGCGACTGCGGCGGCTGCTGCGGCTGTTGCAACTGCAGGAGGTTCTGATACCATCTTAGAAACTTAGGACTAAAGGTTCTTAAACTTAGGAGGCTAGGTTGGCTAGGATACTAGGAAGAAGACCGCCATGGAATGGCGTGAGGAAAAACGGATCTAGGAAGGGAGGGAATGTCGAGAAGAAAGGTGGTTGGATTAGGAAGAGAGGGGAGTACAAGGAGGGGTTTGTACCCCCTACAGAAAGGTTCAGTAACAACCTACCAAGCCTATATTAAATTATAACTTATATAATTTTAACACACCCCCTAGGCTTGGTAGTGTCAAGCCCACGCACACCCCCACACCCACACCCACACCCACACCCCCTAGCCCAGCACCCCCATTCCCAGCAGCAGCCGAAACGACTCCGAAAGAGGGTAGGTCTCACGGCCCCTTGAGACGGCAATGGCGGCAGCAGCGACAGTGACGACAGCGGCGGCGGCGGCGGTGTGCGGCGGCTCCAGGCCTGCGGCAACAGCGGCGGCGCCGGGGGGCTCGAACGACAGAGGCTGGTGCGGCGGCCCCCGCCCTCTCGGCGGCATGTCCTGTCTCCTCGGCGGTGGAGAGGTCCCTCACATGGCAGTCATCGGCTGCAGCAAGAAAGGGGGGGATGCAGGGGAAGCAGGTGCAGGTGGGGGGGGGGAGGGGAGGGGGCGGGGCGAGGCGAGTCTTCAGCGACGCGCCATAAATGGCGCGGCGCTTACTGGCGGGAGGACGTCGTCCTGAGGGACGCCCGTCTGTGGCGAGCGGGCGGCAGGCCCGGCGACGCCACAGACGTCGCTCGGCCGGCCGCAGCCCGACGATGCCGTCGGCTGCCGCAGACGCCGCCACAGCGCACCGTCAATGTCGCAGCGGCGAGGCGGAGGGGCGACGGCTGCACCAAGGGGCCGTCGCGACACCTTGGCGCCGCGACGGTAGGCAACGAGGGACCGTCGCGACATCTTGTTGCCGCGACGGCAGGCAACAAGGGGCCGTCGCGACATCCTGGCGCCGCGACGGCAGGCAACAAGGGGCCGTCGCGACAACTTAGTGCCGCGACGGCAGGCACCAAGGGGCCGTCGCGACATCCTGGCGCCGCGACGGCAGGCTGGCAGAAAACCGCGAAGGCTGCGAATGCAGTAGGAGTACGCAACGGGAACGTAGGGAGAGGGTCCGGTGGACACGACCGGCTCTGATACCATATCAGAATAATTGAATAATGGTAAAGTGAGTGTACACACAAATATATCTAAGTTTTGTATCCTCTAAGAGGTGACTCTATACAGTCTATACAAACATGACAAATACACATGTTTGACATACGGTACGTCCTAAGTTGAAACATTTCAGCCCGTCTAAAAATTTGTCCAAGTACAAACGCAGCTGATTCAGACGGACGAATATTCGTCTGATAAAAATATGCTCGCTGGGTATTAGATATGACCATGGCTTGGGGTCTCCTGTGAGAACAATGGCGATACAACGTGCTGTATTTCTAGCTTATTTCGGGCAGTCTGGCTCGGGTTCGTTTAGCTTGCTTCAGCATGCGCTTTCTACTTAGCTGTGCTTTTCACCCCTCATGTACCACCCCTGCTCCCCTTCCAGCAATTACCCCCAAAGCGCATCTGCACCAGCACAATTACTGCTGGAGCGTTGTTTCAATGCTGTGCTCCCAAACCCTGCGACTGCTCAGAGGGGTCTCATGGGAAGGGTGTGATGCCACTGCCGCCATGGGAGCTGTCTGCCCCTCCACCCGCAAGAGCCGGCTGTGGTTCATCCGTTGCTGCGAGGTGAGAGATGCGAGCTGCTGGGTGCTCTTGCGCTGCCACCCCACCATTTGAGTGCCGCCACTCCTCCACCCCGCTGAAGGACTTGGCCACATCACCCATGGCACGAGGCAGAGGCTCAGAGGCATCGCACGGCTGCACCAGCTGCCCGCCATGCGCACCTCCATAAACACATGCCCTCTCCAGCACTGCTCCCATGTCACCAGCCCCCTCTAGCCTACTCTCAGCCCCCTCTGGCCTACTCTCAGCCCCCACTGCCATGGTGCCATGGCCCCCTGGCGTCACACTGCACCCCCCTGCCCCATGCCACGCCTCGCCCACCCGCCCATCCGCAGCTCCACAGCAAGGCAGCTCCCTTGCTGCACACACAACCCCGCTGCTCGCCCTGCCCTCTGCCACGCTCTCCCCTGCGCCATCACCACCCGCTGCGTCACTCTCACCCGCCCCACCATGGTCGCTGTCCGCCGCCAACTTTCGCCTCACCTCCGCCCCACCTCCCCCCACATGCCCCCCCACATGCCCCCCAACATGCCGCTCCACACAACCCTCCCCATCTCCACCCTTTCCCACCCCCCCCTCAAGGCGGCACACACCCACGTGAGCCCCACATCGCTCCGCCCTGTCCGCCTGTGTGCCTGCCCCATCCGCGCACGCCTTGCCTCCCTGTGCCTCCACCGCACTGCCTGACTGCTGCGCCATCCCATCCACCCCACCCACACCCGCCCACTGCTCTTCTGCTGTCCGCTGCTCTTCTGCTGTGGCGTCCTTGCAGGTGTCAGCCGCAGTCGTACCAGCACACCCACCGACGGCCCCCTCCGGCATGCCAACGCGCTCACCTGCTGCTGCTGCTGCAGCCTCTGCTGCATCCACCACGCCACCTTCCGACTCTCTCTCCCACCCTGCGCACTGCCCTCCCCACTCCATGCTCCAGGCGCCCCCACAGCACGCCTCACCCCCGCCCTCCTCCCCGCCTGCCCCTGCTGCCCGGCACGCGCTGCCGCGTGCAGCGAGAGGTACGGGTGTGGGGGAGGCACGTGCAGGCGCAGCAGGGGCAGCATGCAGAGAGGGGTGCGTGGGAGGGCCCAGGGAGCATGCGGAGAGCAGGGACGGGTGGGGAGGAGGCACGCTGGCAGGGCATGGACGGCCATCGCTGCCAGCGAGGGGGTCTCTGATGGTGATGTCAGCATGCGAGAGAGTGATGTCAGCAGGTGCGTGTGTGACGGAGGCAGCCCGCAGGGGGAAGTGGTCAGGGGGCAGGAGGCTGAACCCGCACCCTTCCTCCCCCAGAGTGACGTCAGCACGGCGCAGAGTGACATCAGCACGGCGGTACGTGACGGCTGCCCGTCTGGCCACAGAGGAGGGCGAGGGGAGCGACGGCCCCCGCGTTGCCGGGCTGCCGCTGCTGGCCAGCTGCTGCTGCTGCAGTGCGGGGGAGGACGGAGGAAGCGGTGTGGGAGCCAAGGGCGCGGGCGTTGCGTGTGGGGAGGTGAGGGCGGGTGCAGGCACAGGTGGCAGGCCAGAAGGGGCAGCGAGCGGTGTCGCAGGTGGAGGGGCTAGAGGGCCATGCGAGACAGCAGACACACACACAGGTGGCGCCAGGGACGCAGGGCGGGGTGACTCGCTACCCCCACTGCCGCCCACACACCCCAATGCACACTCTGCTACATGCCCTGCTGCACACTGTGCATCAGCAACCTCCAGCGCCCCACCACATGGGCTCACTGCATCGCCCATGCTCTCATGCTCTTGCACTCCATCCAGCGTCCCTGCAACCCCTGCATCACCCCCCCCAGCATCCTCCCTCCCATGTGCACTCGTGCCGCCCTGCCCGCCACAGCGGCGCCCGTCCATGCACTCCCCAGCGCGCGCAGCAACGCCGGGCAGCTCACGCCATGCATGGGCGCCTGACCCGCCTGCTATGGGAGCGGATGGGAGCGCGGCAGGCAGATGGTGCCGGGGAGGAGTAGGGGGGGCGCCGGCCTGCATGGCGGTGGGAGTGCGCATGGCGTGCGCGGCGCGGAGCAGCGCCAGGCGGTGCACGGCGCGCTCGAGCGCCGCATCCGCCACGCGCTGCACCTCGCTCGCCCTTGCCCTCGCCGCTCCCGCCCTCGCCCTCGCCCTCCTCGCCCACGCCCTCGCTGCTAACGCCTCTGCCTCCAACCCCTGCCCTGCCGCCTGCCGCCCTGCCGCGCCACATGCAGCGCCCAGTGCAGGGGGGCGAGGCGGGCGAGGCCACATGAGGCGGGCAGGAGAGAAGGGGGATGAGGCAGGGGGTGGTGGCGGCGGGGTGAGGGGCACGGGCATGAGCAGACGGGCAGCGTCAGCACCACTGCTTGCCTGCCCCGCCCTTCCTGCTGCTGCGCGTGCAGACCGCTGTCGCTTGCGCCGGTACACCACCACGCCCACCACGCCCACGCCCGCGCCTCCACACGCCGCTCCTTCCGCCTCTTCCCCCATCACATGCCTGCCGCCACCCTCTGCTCCCGTCTCTGTCCCTCCCTCCCCGCCCCGCCCTCCCCTCTCAGCGCCCTCCTCAGCGCCTCGCGGCACGTGTGCGCCCTCCTCGCTCTCTGCCACTCCTGCCGCTGCCACTCCTGACTGTGCCTCCCCCTTATCCCCTGCTGCCTCGGCAGCACTACTGGCGGGCTCTGCTGCCTCCACTCCTCTCCTCATCCCAAGCACCCTCTGCCCCGCCACCCACCGCGTGCCTCTGCTGCTGCCCGCCTGCGCAAGTGCCTCTTGAGGGGCTGCCTCGCCCACTACCCCACCTCCACCAAGCGACTCCCCTCCACCCGCATGTGTACGCCCTGCATCCACTGCCGCCTGCCCCCCCACCGCCTGCCCTCCTGCCCCCCCGTGCTGCGTGTGCTGCTGCCACCGCAGCACGTGCCCTGCCACCGCCCTCCGCCTCGCCCTGCCTCTCGCCCGCACTCCCAGTGGGCCCCTCTCCGCCTCTACCTGCGCCCTCTGCCCCCCCCCCTCACCACTCTCACCTCTGCCTTCATCCCTCTGCTCTGCACCCCTCCCCTCCCCTGCCGCCCCTGCACCAGACTCCCCTGCCTGTGCCCTCACCCCGCCCCTGCCACTCCCCACCCCCGCGCGCCCCTGCGCCAGCGACAGCAGCTCCGACTGCACCGCCGCCCTGCCCCACCCCCGCGGGCCCTCGCCCTCGCCCCCACTCCCTCCCCCACCCTGCCCGCCCCGCGCATGCTCCGCGTTGTGCCGTGCACTCGTCCCTCCTACCGCGGCGCGGGGCACGGCAGCACACTGGTGGGGCACGGCAGCACACTGGTGGGGCACGGCAGCACCCTGGTGGCTCACGGCAGTGGAGGGGCCATGCAGGGCCGCAGGGACGGTGGGAGCAGCGCGCGGGTGGCGGAGGTGCTTGGGGGCAGTGGGAGGGGCAGGCGAGCCCGCCACAACAGCACCCACTGACCCCCACGCTGCTGCGTGCCCCGCACCCGAGCTGCCCCCCTGCTGCATGGGCCCAACCACCGCCCCCCTCACATGCCCTGACTGCTGCTGCCTCAGCAGGTGCCTCATCCCCCCATCGCCCCCCGCATGTGCCTGCTGCTGCTGCTGCTGCTGCTGCTGCCTGTGGTCCAGCAGCCCTTCCTCGCCACTGCTCACGCGCAGGCTGAGGCGCATCGAGGGGGGGAGGGGCGATCTGGGGGACGTGATGGAGAGGCGCGTCCAGGGCGAGGGCGAGAGGCGGGCAGACGACGAGTGCGAGCGAGCGAGTCCCCGCTGCACCCCACTCGCTCCCCCGCTCCCTCCAGCAGGCAGCGCGTCTGCCTCTGCGCCCATGCCCGCCCTGCCGTCCCTGCTGCTGCCCTCCGCCTCGTCGCCTGGCAGATCTGCAAGAGGGGGCAGCAGCGGACGACCCAAGGCATGGCCGGGGAGAGAAGGAGGTGAGACGGGCTCAACGTCCGCTGAGGAGGCAGAAGGTGAAGTGCAGACACGTGCCAATGCGGGGGAAAGGCACACCACTCTGCCTCACTTGCCAGGCATACCAATGAGACGCCATCCTGCCAGGCACACCAGTCCGCCTCGCCTGCCAGGCACACCAGTCCGCCTCACCTGCCAGGCACACCACTCCGCCTCACCTGCCAGGCACACCACTCTGCGCTGCCTCTTGGGCGCCACGAGTCCCTCCAGCGCCTCCCGCCGCCACCCCTGCCGCCCCTCGCCCACGGGAGACACCCCTGCCTGCGCCGCCGCGCCTGCCACCGTGGGGCTGCGGTCCATGCTGCCAGCAAGGGGTGCAGCGCCGCCCCACGCTGGATGCTCCAAGCCCGTGTGGTCGGCGAGGTGCGCCGCGCGCTTGGTGGAGCGCGGGCGCGCGGGTAGGGCGGGCCGGCGCGCATAGGCACGCGGCTGCAGACAGAAGGCAAAGAGCGGCGGGCGCGGGATGGCGGGCACGTGCTGCTGCGCTGCACTGACAGCGCCGGGGGTGGTCGGGGTGGCCAGGCCAGGGGTGGCAAGGCCAGGGGTGGCAAGGTCAGGGGTGGCAAGGCCAGGGGTGGCAAAGCTATTCGGTGAGGG